AAAAAAATAATAAAGTGACTAAATTCTAGAAATAGACAATATTAGAAGAGAGGGACATCATGCTTGGAAGGGTGGAGGGACAAAGAAAGAGAGGGAGACCATGGATGAGATGGTACAGTGATTGGGGTAATAATGGCGGTAGGTGTGTTGGAGACAGTAAAAGTGGCCCAGGATAGAGCAGGTTTCAGGGTTGTTGTACACAGGGTCACCAGGAGTCACAAGCTAAGCAATGGCACATAACAACAACAATGCTGTTTCTGTCAGAAAGAGCACTTTCCATGGTGGTTGAAATTCTGAGAACTCTGACATTAACTGCCCTCTGCTTGTCCCCCCCTTTCTAAGAGGTGCCCCCTCAACAACCCACTGAAGCTGCAGTGCTCCCACCCGAGTTCACACCCTCTCTGCAACAGATGCACTGTACTGCTGGAACCTGGAGGTCAGAAGCGTGTCACGGAGTGAAAAAGGAAGAATCCTGAGGATGGACGGTGGGAGAGGCGTGATCGGGGAGAGGCACATGTTTAGGAGAGCACCATACCTGTCACCAGCTTGTCACAAAAACCAGACGCTGGCTACCACCCCAGGAAGGTGCCAGAGAACGAACCCACACTCTGCTGATTCCTGGGCAGAGTGATCACAAAGGGGCTTGGGCTTTGGCCTCACAAAGGAATGAGGTCCGATGCTGGCTCTGCGCAGGCCTGGCTGCCCAGGATGGGCGAGTGCTTCACTGCCTGGCACACCCAGTTTCCTCACCTGTCAAGTGGAGGCAGCATCCCCCACCTTGTGACTGTGGTAGGAACTCAACTGGTCACTTAATATTATTAAAGGCCTGGGACAAAACAGCAGGCGGGCTAAGCTATTAACTCAGAATTTTCAAAAGGAGGCTGGGTCACACATTTTGGTGTGAAATATTCTATGACAAACGATAGGAAAGAACTGCAGGGCGTTTCAACTATATAACTGTATTACTAAGCAAATATACATATAAACACTACAGGTAAGATACTATTTTTAACACAGACCAAATAACAACAATGAAAGTAATTTCTATAAAAGTTGGAGAAAACCCATCTTCAGATAAAAAGGTGAGCAGCAGATTGTTAAAACGTATTTGCTGCAAGTATGTGAGGCTGAGTTGTCCTTCACTTGATGGCACCAACAAGAGATGATAAAAATAAACCCAAAAGGTAAATATGCAAAGGATATTAACAAATAATTCATAGTTACAACTATTTAACAAACAGAAAAAGCATAGGGCTTCAGCAAAGCAACAAGTGGACACCAGTGTCGCCTTGTCAAATTGGTAAACACTAAAAGTCATACAATTCTCAGTATTTTAAAAGAAAAATCTCAAGATGCTGATAGCAATTTGCTGTATATCAATATATCGACCAAAAGTCATTAAAGTCGGACATTCAAATTAATCCAAGAAAATAATGAATGTGGAAAAACACACTTTCAGAGGAGATAAATAATGAGCACGGCATTGAAACACAAAAGGAAAAGAATTGTCCAGAAGAAATATATGATGAGGTATTATTTGCATGACAACAGTCCAGAATAAGAGGATGAGACCAAAGCAGACTTGGGGGGTGGGGGGGAGGAAACTGTGCAACAATGAAAGAATCTTTTAAAGAGAAAAGCAAATTGGGGAGGGGGGAGGAAAATGTGCAACAATGAATGACTGGAAATCCTAGACTACTGTAAACTTTTCTTAAAATATCCATTAAAAAACCCCAACACATTCCTTCTTTAAAAACATTATTCTTAATACTGAGGTGAAAAAGGACAGAAACTCAATGTTCAAAACTAAGGAAGTGATCTAGTAAACAAGGAAGCAGCAATCTGGTATCGGCAACATGGAACCTTCTTAGGAGAATGTTAAAACAAGTGATAAACAAAACTGGTTATGGACTCTGTTACTGTGTAAAAGTAAGAGAAGGCACAAGAAAATGCATTAAAGGTAAAAAGGTGGTTGGGAGGATTATGCAACTGTACTCGACTTCAGGGTCAGAGTGAGATGGTTGTAAAAGCTGGTTCCAGCCCCTCAAGTTGGGTCACCAAAGGCAAGATGTTGTTACTGATTGCCTTTGAATTGAGCATGACTCATAGCAACTCTATGAACAAAAGGCCTGAAGCCCCTCTGTAACTATGGACATTTATTAAAGTTCATGAGTTTCCAAAGGCATGTTGTTTAGGAAGTGAATGCCACTCCTGCTTCCAAAGCTGTCGTAGAATGTTACTGGTTGAGTCGCCTGCGATGCATAGTGACCCTGTGTACAACAGCTCTGAATCCTTCCTGTCCTGAGCCAGTCTCACTAACTCCAGCACGCCAACCTCCATTGCCCCAGTTACTGTATCAATCCATCTCATTCTGTGTCTTCCTCTCCTGTGCTGTCTGACCTCCCTTCCAAGTATGATGTCCTTCTCCAAGGACTGATCTCTCCTGGCCACGTGCCCAAAGTAAGTGAGGGGGAGCTTCAAAGTCCTAGCCTCCAAGGACAGACTTGCTTTCAACCTTTCCAATACAAACCTATTTGTTCTCTTGGCAGTCCATGGTATATGTTCAAGACTCTTCTCCAGCACCACAACTCAAAGGCATCTATTCTTTTTCTGTCATCCTTAGTCACTGTCCAGCTCTCTGAAGCATACCAAGTAATTGAGAAAACCACAGCCTGGATTATAAATCTTAAATTCTTCAATATTAATTACCTAGGTCCCTGAAAAAGCAATCTAAGTTACAACTCAACAAAATTGCCCGCATTGCACGACAGGGCACCATAACAGGCTCTAGATAAATGGTCCTTCTTCTTTGGCAGAACGGTTAAATTCTCTTTACTGTGAACAGTTCATATACAGAAATTATTTAATCATGTAACTGTCTTGTAGGAAATTTCCTGACTCCTCTTCTTTCTTCTTCCTTTAACATCAGCATTGTATTCTCCACTTGACATTTTCAAAAATGAATCAAGTGCAAAACACCATTTCTGTACATTTCAATATTGTTTTCATCTATTTTATAAATCACGAGACAATTAAACAAAAGTGGCTTTGAGAGACTGAATTTGCACATTTAACACAGAAACTACAGGGCTCTCCAGGCCACATCCGTCCCTTCCTGTGACACGCCTTCATTTCTCCGATATTCTGTACTATCTGACACACACAGAGCCACCTGATGGCTTCTGAGAATACACGGCGGGATCACAGGGAAGAGTGATGGTCTTCCAGGCTTACGGTGGGTGATTTACAAGAGTTTGGGACAATAATTTTCATTCACATTATGAATTCCCTTCATTAACCAAAAAAACTAGACAGCCAAGTTCCCTGAGATAGTATTGTGTGAACTCACAGCCCCCGTCACCCCATTACCGCACTATTCTCCAAAGGATTAATGCTGAAAATATGTGTGGATAGAAAAAGTAACTTTTTTGTCATTTACATCCTTTCAAAACTCACTAGTTTAGGAGATAAAGCTGCCATGTCTTTTGACAAACAGTGGCTTAGAAGTAACCAAGTCTCAGCTGACCCTGACATTGCATTTGACCTTTCCCAGCCTAGACCTCCATGGCACCACTGTGAAGAAACCAGGTGTTTCTGAGAGGCTGACTTCTCTGCTCAGTACAATGTGGTCCACACTCCCAGCTAAGAAGACATTCTTGCTTTAAGTACACTGTACACTGGCAGGTGGACAGCAGCTCCGTTCAAGACGGCGGCCACGTGAATGACTTCTGGGCTTGTGAGTTGTCTAAGACACGTGGTGAGAAAACGGAAAAGGATGGGTTATGTTTTGGAACTTGGAGCCAACTCTCAGGGTCTAACGGAGGTCTGTCCCGTGGGAAAAAAGACAGGCAGTCTCCTTAGGTGTGATTTACAGCCTCTGAAAACATGCTGGAGGGTCAGCTATGAGTTGGTTTTGACTCAATGGTGCTTAACAACAACTAGAGGTCTAACTTGTAAAGTTTTTGCACGTCAGAAGTCAGAAAAAGAAGGGGTGGGGGGTGGCAAGGAACTTAAGAAGGTTACAGTTGGATGTAAAGAAAACAGTTGTTGGGGGAGGGGAAGGGAGGAAAATGTGCAGCAATGAAAGAACGAAAATGCAACTTTTCTGTAAACTTTCTTTAAAATCACAATTAAAATAAAAAAAATTAAACAACATCAACAAAAAGAAGTCAATGGCTGAGACCTGAACCCACAGGGAAGGTGCATGCCTGTCATACCAGTTTGTCTCTCTGTCGCTCCCCGTGGATGAGAAAGCCGCTTCGTCCACTGCCTTCGGGGTGCATGACTTTACAGACCCCCACTCGACTGATCCCGCCGCCTTCCTGTGGGAACCATCCCCCGCTGGAGTCATCTCTGGTCATAACCACAGCCTTGACACGCACGATATAGCTGTCACTGGAATGACAAGAGGGAGAGAGGGTCAGCGCAGGACAGCAGTGTGGTCACTGTGCAGGTCCCTGTCGAAGGGGCCAGCCATCACTCAGGGCAGGGCAGCCGTGTGGTCCTTGTGCAGGGTCCCCTGGAAGGGGCCAGCCATCACCCAGGGCAGGACAGCAGTGTGGTCTCTGTGCAGGGTCCCCTGGAAGGGGCCAGCCATCACCAACCCTTTCTCCCGGGTTCCGCAGGACAAAGTCTGTGCCTGGTCGTGCCCCAAACAGGTACCCACCCAACTCCTGAAATACAAACTCCCAACTTAAAATTCAAAACCAAGAACCTGTATATTAAAAAAACAAACACACACCAAAACCAAACAAACAATAATGAATATAAACTCTGTGAATCTTTGAAGGAGACATATTTTATGCTGGGATCCAAGTCTGCAGGTGTGTTCTTCAATTTCTAAATGCAAGTACTACTAATAAAACACATTTGCTGATATTTGGCATCTAGTTTAGGAAAGACAAACCTATTAAGAGGGTATTACGACTTCAAAGCCTTCATTTACCATCCATGATCAAGGCTTAACATCTTATTAAGCTAGTAATCTTCTGATTTAGCATAGTATGATAATCCACTTGCAAATCACAAAAAAACTGATGTGATTGTTTATATAGGTTAGAAAAGCATTTCAATTCAAATACCCTTTGCCTTCTGTTTGTGAATTTTCCCTCCCAGTCTAAATTTTGCAATAAGTTCTTCCCCACATTTGCCAAATCTCCTGCCTTCTCCAGAGGCCAACTCAAGCCTTTTCCAATGCTCATCACATTTCAGGAACTTTATTTGGATTTTCAGCAAGGCCATTAAATTCTCACTTGCTGTTTCCTTTCTCTGCTTTCAATTCATTTATTGAAACTTGTATTCATGTCTTCTCGACACAAAGAACTGTGTTAGATGCTAGGGACACACAGACACAGACCCCCTTGGTTGCTGAGGCTTCTAGAGCTGACCTAACACCAGTGCTCAAGGCTGGGCCACCACCACCACCACAGGCTCCTCAATCACCACAGAGGCCAAAGCCACCCAGACTATCGCAGTCTACCCCATGGGGCAGCTTCCTCTTGCATGAAGAAGACACAGTGGTAGACACTCCCTCTCCCCCTCCAGCTTCCCTGCAGTGCACACATTCAACCATTGCACCACTTCCCTTCTCACAGGGAGCTCTGGTGGCCTAGTGGTCAGAAGCTGTGCTGCAATCCCAAAGGCACAAAGTTCAAATCCTCCAGCTGCTCCGTGGAAGAAGGATGGGCAACCCCCTCCTGTGTGATTTAGTGCCCCTGCAAACCCACCGGAGGGTCAGCTATGGACTGTTTCCAACTGGTTGGTACACAACAACACCACCACTTCTGGGTCACTTCCTCGTTCCCTGACAAGGTTAGAGACCTCCACTGTTATTCCTGTTTACACGTTCCATAACTTTATTAGTCACATAAAGGACCCCTCCAATTCCTTGACCTGTCTCTTCATGTACCCTCTACTCAATGACTATCTCACACTCTAACCACACTTACCAGGAGCCCACCCTTTAACCTTCCAGTTAAGCATTAAACAGCAATGATGTCATTTTAAGGACTAAGGTGTATCTACCCGAACTCTAAACTCACTGCCATTAAGTGGGAACTGACTCACAGCGGACTCTCTACCAGGTTTCTGACGTTGTGAGCTGAACGGGAGGCCACACTCTACCTTTCTCCCGCAGAGCTGCTGGAGGACTGGAACCTTCGGAGAAGCCGACCTTTAGGTCAGCAGTGCAAGTCCCTCCAGAACAGGCCTCCAGTGCACACAGTCCACACAGACTGGGCCTAACACACAGCCCATCACCCCCAAATGCAGGTGAAGGCCAGGCAACAACAGAAGAACAGGAGCACAGAAGTACAGAGGCATCCACACTGCAGTGCTGGCACGGAATACCATTGCCTGCTTCTTTATTTCCATGCTTGTCCTGCGGTCCAGAATACAAAATGGTAATTCGGACTGGATCTCTCTACTCAAACAGACGCTCTGTTAGCTCCCTCCATGACTGAGTAAGTCCAGAGCTGGCAAGGCTACAATTCTCACTCATTCTGCTTCACCCTCTGGGCTCCTCGACAGCCTTCCAAATTAAGTACCTTCCTACCCCAGGGCCTTTGCACTTGCTACATACATATCTACTCAAAACGTCATGCCTGATTTTCCAAAATAGGTCTTGGGTTCATTCTCTTATTTCATTCAGGTCTCACGCAAGGTCACTTCATCAGAGATGTCACTGTGCACTTTATATAAAGCAGGACGTTCCACCTTCCTTAAACCTTACACCTGCCTTATTCTGTATGTTACTAATCAGTACCTGCCTCACCATGTATGCATGTGCCTGCTCTCCCCACTTAAAAATAATAGTGCCTTAGGAGGGGGTTTTATTCACTTTATTACTAGGGCCTATGAGGGTGTCTTTTGTGTATTTGGTTGGGGAAGGAGTAAGTGGGTTAAATATACAATGTAGAGAGGTTTACAATGTGATTTGTAGCTAACAGAATCCCTTCGTAAACAGAAACTATCTAACAGTCATTTGTTTTATGAATTACAACAGCTGGACTGGGCTAAGGGTACAGACCTCTTTGTTCACTGACCTGGAAATCCCAGGCTGCCCAGGTAAGTGGTTTCTATCACTAATCTGTTCATCTCAGGGTTCACCATGCCTGCTCTTTCCGGTCCTAGCGGCTGACTGAAACCATTTTAGAACATTTGGTCGGATATGTGGCAGGCATTTGGGCGGAAATGCCTGGCTTTCTTTTTTCCCGTTGCTCCGTGTGTGTTACTGAGTCGATCCTGCCCCACAGGGCTCCCGAGGTTTGAACCAGTGACTTTTTGGTCAGCAGTCAGGTGCATAACCATTACGACACAAGGACTCCTACACCCCACTTGTTCCAGAGAAGAACGTTCAACTTTAGAATTCCGTGTGACACTCAGCTTCCCCAGGTTCCCCCCAAGTGTTCCTCCCACCAGAAGTCAATCAGATGAAGAACGGAAACCTTACACATCTCTGGCTAACACGTATTTCCACATGTGTGTTCATGTGTACGGACCACCCTGTTTTCCCTTTCTTTGAGAGGATTAACTAAATAGGGACTGGGGAAGGTCTGCACTAGTTATCAAAGTGTCGTAGACTTATTTCCAGAGAACTTACTGATTGAACTAAAAAAAAAAAGAATCCTACAGCCCGACCTTTAGACTGCAAGGGCTGCGCTCACGCTGGCCGTGGCTTGTGGCCTGCACCCTTCACCTTCGCCTTGATTCCTCTAATGCCCCTTTGTGAGGTGCACGCCTGTCAGTGGTGGTAGATGCTGCTGGTGTGTGGCTGTGTTGGTGGGGAGAGGAATTCCCTCCCTCTCCTTTGGCAACAACTGAAGCCGGCCCAGCATTAAGCCAGGCATCTGGCTATTTAAATCAAGGCAGGGGGATAAAGCATTGCACTAAAAGCTGAGAAGGATGTCTGGCTAATCCAGCTGTCCGGCTGAGTGCCAAGTGCTTCTTATCTGTGGTTGTATTTACACTGCTCAGGCACTTAACCCCACCCAGAGCAGAAATGACAATGAACTCCAGTACCAAAGAGGTGGAGAGGAAGAAACCCCCTTCCCCACCGGTCCCCGCCTTCTGGAAAGAGTTAAACAACATCTGGGTAACACAGCTGTGGGTCTGCTCGGGGAGGGGGTGCAGAAAGAAGAGCCAGGGCACATTAGGTTTTTAATCTGCACATGAAAAATGCTGCTGTGTTTCAGGACCTTTCTAAAACATGTTCCAACTGTCACAAAGAATGACAATTTAAAAAAAAATACTCCTGAAGGCGGTCACGGCTGCATCAGTGTTAACGGATAAAAAAAACAAAACAAAACCCCACACAACAAAAACCTAACCCTCCAAAAAAGCTCAACCCCGTGACGATGCTGACTTACAGGGACACTGAGGAAAAGGAGGCGTGTGCTGGTGGCACGGTGGATTACGCAGTGAGCTGCCAACTGAAGCGTGGATAGCCAGACTCCACCAGGCACGCTGAGAGAGAGACGTGGCCGCTGGCTTCCGGATTTACAGCCCTGCGGGCAGGGTTACCTGTGAGTCGGCCAGCATGGAGTTCTGCCGGCTTGGTGGTGGGGAGCTTTGCTGTTCCCGGGTGACTGACTGCCTCTGAAACCCCACTGGGGGTCAGATCCAGCTGCTTTGGTTCAGACCTGACGGTACATGACAGCACACGGCTGCTGGCCGGTGGAACGGACTCTGTTCTGGCGGGTACAGGCACAGCGGGCACGAGTGCGGGTCACCAGAAGCCGGTGAAGTGCCTGAGCATTGGAGTGTGAGCAAAACGGCCCCAAAGAGTCGACATCACACTAATAGGGCTTGACTCCCCTCACCCAAGTGATAGTGTATTTACACGAGGCCAAACATAGCTTCTAAGAGATGCACTGAGGAGACGGCATTTAAATAGGATTTAAGGAAAAGGTTCCCAACATGAGGGCTTCTTTGGGAAAACCTGTTCTGTAAGTCATTTGACACTTGAAAGACACTGGGGTATCCTTCAGAAAGGGGCTGACTGCCACGCAGCCCAAGAAGAGCCAGCACCCCCCAATCTTTCCTGAGGTGACTACCCCCTCTTCCTCCTTCACTAGAGCTGGTGGATTCCAACACCGACTCTGGTTAGCAGGCAGCACTCTGAACGCACAACACACTGGCTTGGAAGAATCATCTAGAAGCTAGATGCTTATCAGAGGCTGTGGTCCCAAGAGGACTCCCACAGACTTTAGGTCTCTCCAGCTCCCAGGTAGGCCCTGTGTGAGCCAGTCTACAGGAGTGAACAGGGAAACCCATCCCCGGGGCTGGCTCCGGCCCTGCGTCCCACCCAGGACTTGTCTTGGAGCCAGGCAGGTGAGAAGCACCTGCATCCAAGCAGCCCCTTCCCAAGCTTCACTTTCCTCATCTGTAGAATGATGAGAGGCTCAACTTTACGGGGTTGTCCTGAGACTTAAAAGCAAGAATAGAGGTCAAGGGCCGGATACAGAGACATTTGAGAAACTGTGGCTATCATTATATTTGAACACAAAGGTCCTTTAAGGACCAGCCAGCCTGTCTGTGAACGGATCCGCAGAATGCCTTTTTCTTCGGGCCCTGCCAAGAGAAGAAAACCCCAGACGGACCTCCAGCAATTATCAATACAAGTCAGAGAAGAGAAAAAAAAAATACAAGTCAGAGGTTTGGGTGTTTTTTTGTTTGTTTTTCCTCTTTTCTCAAAACCAGGTCAGATTTCTACATTTCAGGCACACCTGGAGAGGAAGCAGTCTCATGCACCTCCTGGTGGGAGGTCCCTGGCCCCCCGCGTCCAGTCAAACCTTGCCCACCCCATTCACCCTTACGGAGTGCCCTCCTCCCTCCTTTATCCTAACCTTAAGGCCTCTGTCCACTGTTCCCCACTCCGTCAGACCTTGAGGAGGATTAGCCACCAGCCAGGACCTCCAGATCCCCCTTCTGCGAGACACACAGCATCCAGACAGTGGCCAAGGCAAATGTAACAGGACCAGGTAGAGTGACCGACCCTCCTTTGTTTGGTCTGTAGACACAGAAAGGGCTCCTTGACTTCATCAGATTCCTCTTAAAATGGAAACAAAACTACAGAAGCCCCTCAGTGCCCTGCGGTAGTCTGGACTCCCAGCAGCCCTCCCTGAGGTGGTAAATCATCAAGGGAAGGGCAGCCCCTGCTTTCCGTGCAGGGTGCACAGGGCTCTGAACTGCCGACTCTCAGCTAGCAGCTCAACACGTAACCCGCTTTGCCAGACAAAACGCATGTACGTATGAAACACGTATGGAAATATATACATCTTTTTTAAAAAATAATCAACAGAATTCAACAGAATGAAGTGTGCTGAGACACAAAGATGCTGGTCATGTTCCAGCTGTCAGGCCAAAACCTACACGTATTGGGACGGGCAGCCAGAGAATTCATTCTGACCGGCAGTGACCCCGGGAGAAGGTCGGTGCTCTCAAGTGTTCAGCGGCTCGTTACTCAGACGTAGACTGCTAGACCTTTGTTCCAAAGAGCTTTTAGGTGGACTTTCTAATCTTTCAGTACGCGCACTGTCTAGGTACGCTAACCATTTGGGGCTCCATCTGAACTAATTAAAACAATCTTAATTTCGAGCTCATGGCCCTCAGAGCATCATGCACCACACCAGTGATTTACCAAGAGAAGAAACCAGATTCTCCAGTTTTACCTTTTTGCTCTTCAAAAGAGAGGGTGTGTGTGTGTGTGTGTGTGTGTTTATTTTTTTTCTGGTGAAAATATATACAACTTAAAATGGAACAATTCCATGACAATAGTTATATCACACTATATAACTATCACCATTCTCACCATCTCTGTTCACACTGTTTCACTAGCATTGACTGTAGGATTACAATGACGCCTTAAAAATTCTCATTCACTTCAGAATTAGTACAGTTATACAGATCTATTCTTCAGGAGGGCAACACTGAAACAAACTATAGAGTTAAAACGTTGTTCTGAGGGGAGCTCTGGTGGCCTAGTGGCAAGGAGCTGCAACTACAATCCCAGAGGCGTATGGTTCGAATCCACCAGATGCTCTGCCAGGGAAGGAGGGACAATCTCTTCCTGTACCAGTCAGATCTGATTTGACGGTACACTCACACAAAAATAATAAAGTGAAACAAAACAAACAAACAAACAAAAACGTTGTTCTGTCTAAAGACAAACTCCACCCCCATGGGTTAGTTTTAGTTTAAGACTTAAAAGTTGTTTCTAGGCAATAGATTCAGAGGTTCCTCCAGAACTCAGCAAATACGGTAAACCTTTTTTCCCCCCAAAAAAGAATCTGAATCTATGTTCCAGTTTGCTCCTTTGACCAAGATCCGTCTACTGGGTCCTTGATCCTAACGCTCAGCAATGTTACTGGGGCGCCATCCATTTTTTTCTGGTTTGGTGGTGAAAGGAGCAGCAACTGAAGTCACAATCACTTCATTCTCTGATTCCTGCATCACCTTCTTCCTCTGTTACTCCAGGCAAACAGAGACCAGCTGTTATCTCCTGTGGCAGCCTGCAAGCTTCCAAAATTCAGATACCACAGCAAATCCTGCCCCATGCAGAGTACTGCCCCACACGTCATCACAATACTGCTCTTACTAGTAATTGTACCTTTTCTTCCAAGTGGCAAGTAAATATTGGTAAAAGGAATAAGTGTTTTATTACCAGGACCAAATTAGGCAGATATTTTTAATTCTATTTAAGGAGCATCCAAGGGTGGAACACTGATTTATAACGTGGAACCCAAAATGGGTCTGGGAATGTGGCCCTTGTTTGTCCAGGGATCCCCTCACAAGGAGCAAGCTCCAGAAGGCGTGTGGACAGCCTCCCTGCCTTCGCCCTTTGTGGGCCTCAGGTGCTCGCCTTAGTCCTATAGCACAACCATCAAAGTTCTTCTGTGCTGAACAGCATGCCCAGAACCTGTCTGTCCTGTGTCATCCACACAACCTCTTGCTGCCCAATCCGCCTCACAAAGGGTCTTCCTCTCTCTTACTGACCCCCGTACTTGCCAAGCATGGTATCCTTCACCTAGAACTGGTCCTTGCAAAGTCTGTGAGGCCTCTGGAACCCCGTGTCCAACCTCTACCCTCACCCCGGACGGGCTGACTCGGGCACACCCAACCTCATCCTTGCATGCCGCCACTCAGTCCAGCATCTTTGATGCTGCTCAGCTCCCATGAAGTAAATAAATAAACGTCCTCACATACTGCTCCCAGCACCGATAATAAAAGGGTTGGGGCCATTCTCTCCCTTATGAAAGATCCTGCCAGCTCCTATATTTGAAAAATAATGATTATTACATTGGATAATTTGTAAGAACTAATCCTAGCAATGCCAAGTTTTTAAGAGGCCTCCAGTTTGGGTGTGTTTAAAAAAAAATCCTAATGTTAAAAATTTCTCTTGAAGAACTCCTCTTTACAGGCTAGCAAATTTGTAATCCAAAATATGTATTACTGCACGGTTGCACAATTTGGTGGGTGGGGGCGGTAAAGGAAATGAGAAAGATTCAGCAGGGACCTGGGGGAAAAAAAGGGTAATGATAGGCAAGGTCCAATGGTGATAAATTTTATAAAATATAATGCAGGAGAATGATTATATGAAACACAATGTGAATGGAGAATAGTGTGACACACAATGTATAAGCAAGCTAATCTAAGGTAAAAAATGTAAAAATAATAAAATATAGATTTAGTAAGCTACTGGTTTGTAAAATATTTCCCTCTGAATTGCAATGCACTGTAAATAGACATGTTTTCCGATCTCTTCCAAGAGACTGTCCACTTTCAGGGACAAGACCACGTGGCAGCCCATTCTCCACCTTGCCTTGAAGCCCTGAGGGAAACCCCAGTTCTGGATGCTGGGCTGGGTGCTGTTCAGGACCTAAGGAACTCTACCTCTTCCTACCACTAAGTCTCCTAATCCCTAACTGCCAAGACAGCGAAACAAAGACACAAAAGGAACAAAGGTCAAGGCTGGAAGTCAGGCACCTAGGCTTCAGAGAGGTTTGCAAAGATCTCAGAGGAAATAGCAGCAGCCAATTGGGGATCGTGTGACAAACACTTTGGCAGCCTGAGAAGACAGACAGACAGACGGTTTAGTGAGCTAGGAAACCACATGGGTGCGTAAGTCAGAGCTTCTACGAGCAACCCGACTCCCCACCTAACTCCTGGCCCCCAGTGGGAGCCCCATTCTCGGGGCAAATCTTCCTGAACCACAGAGGATGGTGGTGCTCGCATCCTCCTGTCTGGGCATGCTGGAAATTCCCTCACAAAGGCCCAGTTTTCTGTTTTCCTTTTGAATGAAGTTTACAAAGTTGTATCAGATTCATTCCAATCTGCTCTGCTTAAAATGCTACTTTTTCAACGTAACCTCAAAGCTTTTATCTCCTATCATTTCAATAAGCATAAATCCTTCATGGGGGGGAAAAGTGTGTGTGATTCAGTTGAATTCTGTTGAGCTCACATTCATTTTTTTCCCTTTTGTTAAAAAAACAGAATCTGATGACCCTATTTAGTATATTGTGTTCAAGACTGAGCCAGAGTTATTAAAAAATCAAACAAAAACCACCACCTTTTCTTATCAGTACTTCAGTTCTAAATCCACGAGACTATACTGATCCCTTCTAACTGGGGCACTACAGGGTCCACAAACCCAGCTTACTGGGCGAGTGCAAACCCACACATGAGGTGTCCACTCCTGTAGATTATCAGCTTCAGCAACCGGAAAGGGAATGTGTCCAGGGCTGACTTA